GAACGTCCCAAACTCTGCCCAGCTGAATGCATATTTATGCCTGTCCACAAGCCTGCACTGCCTTCAAAAAGTATTTCACAACTTCCACAAAGGAAGGACAACAAAAATGAGCTCACAGAAGGTAAAGAACTGAGGCTGCTGGAAGTTAGAAAGGGGAAGGGAAGAGAGGATAGAGAGAGGTTGGCTAATAGATAGAAAGTTACAGTTCCGTGGGAGGAGTGACTTCTGTTCCTAGAACTGTAGGGTGAGTATGGTTAACGATGATTCAGTGTTTATTTTCAAAAAACTCAAAGAGAGAATTCTGAAAGTTCACAACACAAAGAAATGATAAGTGTTTGAGGCGATTAACATGCCAATTACCCTTTGATCAATTACACATTGGAGACATGTATGAAAATATCACTCTTTATCCCATAAATGTGTATGATTATTACGTGTCAACTAAAAATAAAAGAGAAAAATGGTCAATGGCTTTTTAAAGGGTTTGAAAATAAGAGCAAGATAGAGTGAAATATCTATTTCACTCACAACTGGAAAAAAAGAAAGAAAAAAAAAAAACTCCCCACAAAGCTTTAGCCACATGTGGGTGGTAAACTCTTCTAAAAATATATTCTCAAGCTATGTATAGAGCTGTTTCCTACATTTCGGTATCAGATCGACACAGAAAAGGGCAAGGCCTTCAGAAAGATAAAGCAGCTTTTTAACCACCAACTTAATCCTCGAAGATCAATTCTTCCAGGAAGAAAAAGGAGAAAAATTCAATTCTGCTCCGATCTCCACCTCCCAGCCTCCAAAAAGAAACACTAAGCTAGGTCCATGAATATGTATATTGCAGAAATGACCCCAGAATAAAAAAGGGATTCCTTAGGCAAAAGAAGGGCACTCACATGCAAATTGTCAGGTCTCCTAAGAAAACAGCCTAGTTTGTAAACAAGATAGAGAACCAGCTGCGAGGGTCAAAAAGGTCTGGTCTTTTAGGGTCTCCGGAGAAAATCGTTATTTCCAAAGTGGATCCTGACTATAATCAACCCTCAGAAACTATCCAAATTGCACACTTATTACATTTACTATTGCTTAAAAGTTTTAAACTAAGGACCGTCGACTGGCAGGTTTTAAACTACACCAATTCTGCAACGCAGTTTTTGCTGTCACAGAATTTAACCTGCATGTTATTCCTGTAAATGTCCAAGGTGAACGTTGCTTCTTAAGCCATAAATGGTAAGGAGGAAGGATTTAGACAAAAGGGGAAACCCGGACCACCAGCTCTCTTTGGGAAAGGAAGCGAGAAATTGGCCTTCGGTGATTTGATCCCAAACAAATTCCAATTTCAGTAGACCTCAGCAGAAGTACAGAAGCTCAGGGTGAAATATTTCAGAGAAATGTTTGCCAATTCCATCTTCTGAGCTCAGGCTGTTTCTGCAGGGTGGTATGTCCCACAAGTCAAAGATAAAGTTACCACAATCTCAAAGCCAGGTTCAAGTATAGCGTAACGACAAAGCACAGTGATTTGTGGGACGGAAAGTGACTCCATCGGGGGAGTTAGGCTGCTCCCCCACAATCAGAGTGGGCAATTTTCCTCTGGATTCTTGGTGAAACCACATCCCCCGTTTCCACATGAATGACAGTTTTTCATCAAACAGTGCAATGCGATCATTAATAAGGCTGAGACTGCATTAGGATACAAAATTGTATGAACCCTGATGACAATTTCATAGACAGCAGGCATAATGACAGGAGACAGAGGCTGCCAGAAAAGGCCAGCCAGTGGTAGGCGTTTCACTCTCACTACGAGATTATGCCTTTCTTCTTTATCTTTCACACCTTCTTTAGTATTTTTTTAAATAAAAAAATTTGACCTATCAGTGCATCATCTAGGAATAACCTCATGGATTCAAGGTTAAGTCAAGTCATCATTAAGCTCTTAAACTTACCTGTGGCACACGGTCAATTAATTCTAAGGCTCCATGAGCTAAATAGCTTAAATTCTCCAACGTTATTTTCTCTGGAGCCTCGGGCTCTGGATCCTGGTATATTAACTGCTACCTACTACAAGGTGAGCAGGGAAATTACCATCACATACATCCTCCAGAATAGTTCCTTTCTTGTGTTCATGCCTTAAGCTGTATGAAATTACACAATTCTCCTGAAATAACCTGTAGCCAAAGGACAAGTTCATTAACTTCAAAGCTGTGGTCACCTGTCTCCAGAGTGTCAGTCAAGACAGGCTCAAACAACAAGATAAAATTATGAGAACCCTGGAAAACGCCACTTGACCTCAAATAACAATTCTTAGGCAAGTAAGCATCAGTCAAGTTTAGAACAGGCTATGGGTGGCCAAACCCGCCAGCGATATGTCACAGAACTAAAGAAGCGTATGTACCTGAGAAACCGCCTCACCCATGGGGCTATTTTCACTGCTATAAAAATGAAAACAAATAGAGGACAAGTCACAGTGCCAAGAATCCAGGACTTCCTCTTGTAGATCCTCTTTTTTCCACCCTCGCTGTAGCTCTAGGGAAATTCCTCTTCATTGGGAGAAGTGTCAGTCACGGAAGGCACCAGCCCATTCTCAAAGTGCTATTATACATCTTTGAGCAGTGAGGATGGGTAATGTCAGCAAAACATGCACCGTTTAAATTCACTTAGGCTGGAAACGCCTTCCAGCTCCTTCCTCTCAGTGGATTTTTCCATTTACTGTCTTCAACCACCTGGGCTTGTCTGTACCTTCTCCACAGCTCTGCTGAGACCCTCCTGTTTGTTTGAACTATGTCCACATGTCCCTTCTGCCACATGTGCCCAGGCCCGTTTTTCCACAACTTTTTCTCACTTAGCTGCCTCCTTTCCACTGGTCTCAAGCCCTTTCCGGAGTTACAAGGGCATTAGCAAGCAAGAGCTTTTTCGCCTGTGTGTATTTCTACTTTCTATCCATTGCGTAAACCCCTCAGGACCAGGAGCCATTTCTTCTGCATCCTTTACATGGCAAGGGTAGCACTTTATTTCTCGGCAGCCAGCCCATAAAAGGAACCGAACTAACAAAGACAAACGTATTCACCAAAGACAGTGAATTACTTCAATTTTAGAGACAAGAAACTGGCCAGGTGTGGTGGCTTACGCCTGTAATCCCAGCACTTTGGGAAGCTGAAGCAGGTGGATCACTAGAGGTCAGAAGTTGGAAACCAGCCTGAAAAACATGGCGAAACCCTGTCTCTACTAAACATGCAAAAATTAGCTGGGCATGGTGGCACCCGCCTGTAATCCCAGCTATTTGGGAGGCTGAGGCAGGAGAATCACCTGAATCCCCGACGGGGTCGGGGGTGGGTTGCAGTGAGCCAAGATCACACCACTGCACTCTAGCCTGGGTGACAGAACAAGACTCTGTCTCAAAAAAAAAAAAGGAAGAAAGAAATTGATCCTACAACTTAGATCAATCACCCAGTCACTTAATCTGTGAAAACATTACAAAGATACTTTCTTAAACGTGAATAAAAGCATCTATTATTCATGCCTCCAAGTAACAGGAAAGAGGGAAGATGGACCTCCCTCACGGTAGATAGACAATTAAATGTTTCTTGGAGAGTGTGGTACGCATTTAGTTCCCAGAGCAAGGGCTGGTGGAGAAGAAAGCCAAGTGAAACATGGGTGTTATTCTATGCCAGGTAAAGCAAGTCACACGCCATCTAGATCCTGCTCCAACTGATAAAACCAAAACACTGGTGGAATTCCAGATACCAGCTTGCACTTCTCTCTGCAGGCATCTGGGTTAGTCCTAAATAGGAAGTCCTAAAAAGAGCCACTCTGAGAAGGCAGGGGGTGAGAGGGCAGATGAGGCAGCCAAGCACACATTACCGCAAATCATGACTTTAAAGAGGACCCCAACCTGGGCTTCAGGTCTTTGATCCAGCATCAGTTCACTAGGCCAAGAGGGAGTTATCCTCTCTGGGAAGATTGGTAAGAGCTTGGAAGGCTCCGTGGCTTCCAGAAACTGTAGATTTCCCAGTGACCACTGCCCAGTCCAACAGCCAGTGACATCAACTCCACTCTTGGGAAGTAGAAAACCAGTGAAGGTCCAACTAGCCTAGTCCCTGAAGCATGCCTGGCCCTTCCAGAACACACACCTTTTTCCTATCACCCTGATCCCGAAGAGCTTCGGGCAGACCACCAACTGACCACTTAGATCCACAGTGACGTGCAAAGCAAGGCGGGGAGGGTATTTGCCTAACTTGGCAGGGAGGAACGAGGTCCACTTCTGCCACCAGTCACCAGCTGGTCCCACCAACACCTAGCCAGCACCTGCGGTGGACGGTGAGCGGCGTCTGGGCCCAGAGCTGGGTGCCGTGAGCAGTGAAAGGACCCCTGCGCCCGCGGGGTGCCCACCTTACCCCACGGGGAGGGGCAGGGCCTGCGGACCACGCTCCGCTTCGCTCTCTAGTTTCACCTCCCCAGGATGTCCCAGGGCCTCGGGTGTCCGTCCCGGATCTTGCGGGCAACCCCCGGGGGCGGGCGAAGAAACGCGGATACCCGCGCCCGGAGAAGCCAAATGTATGCAAACAGCGTTCGGGAATTCGTTGGGGTTTTGTTTTGCTTTTGTTTCTGAAGCCCTGGGTGGTATTTCTGGAACTCTCAACCTGAGTCACTAGAGCGAATCGCGCCTTTTTCTGAAAAACCTCCTCTTGGGGAGGGGGACGCGGCGGGCCGCAAGGGGCGCGCGTTCGGGTGGAGGCCAGACGACCCCGCCACGCGCGATCCGGCCACTCCGGGGCGCAGGAACTGAACCCAACCGGAGACGCGGCCGCGACCAGCGCCGGGAGGACCGACCCCGCCCCGGCCGGGCCCCCACGCCCTCCGCCGCCGCTTGATGCCCGCGACCCGCCCCGCGCCGCCGGGGAGCTCCCTAGCCGAGGGTGCGGTGCCGGGGACCCCCGGCAGGTGCGGGCGCCACGGACCCCCCCGCTGTCCCTCGCTGCCCCCCGCGCCCCGCTCCCGGCCCGCGCCGCACTCACCGCCGCCCGCGCCGACTGTCGAGCCGGGAGGTCTGAGCTGGCAGCGCTGGCGCCCCGGGAAAAGGGCCGGGCGGCGGGGACGGGGGCGGGGGCTGGACCCGGCGGGGCGGAGCGCGGCCGGCTCGGGCTTCCGGCTTCTCCCGCCCCCGCGGCCGGCACCTGGGCCCCAGACCCGACCGAGGCCCCTTCCCTGCCTCACTCTGATCGCCCCCAAGCTCCACCCCACACCCCGCTCGCTCGCCACCCCGACGCCCCAAGTCTCACCCGCCAGACGCCTCGCGCCGCCCTCTCTCCCCCATCTCCGATTCTCCCCCTGCCTTTTGGTGCCAGCACCCCCGCCCCGCCCCCGACAGCCGGACCCTCCCTCCGGATATGCCGCTGGCGGCTCTCCCCACTCCCCCCTCACCACTTGCAGGCGGCGGGACCACCTACCTCGACCCCGGACCCCGCGCTGGGGCGCTCCCAGCCCTCTGGGGGGCGGCTCTTCTCTTCCTGTAACTCTACAGACGCGACCCGACAGCCCCAGACACTCCCTGTGCCTTCGGGCAAGTTACCCACTCTCTGAGCTCGGTTTCCTGTCGGCAAAATGGGCGCAATCGCAGTCCCCGTCTCGTAAGAGCGACTGGGAGTTAACTGGGAAGACGGGGGTGAAGTGTCAGCACGGGGTAGATGTTAGGTAAGACGTATCAGCTGCCTCTCGGCTCTGTGCCCCCAGGGTGGCCGGTGGCCCCACGTAGATCTTTCCCAGCCATCACTGAAAGTTCTGGAAATCAGTAGCTCCTGTTTCCACATCTGCCCCTAAATGGGTGCCATCTGCCCGTCTGCTTGGAGCCCCATCGGCCGGCTGCAGTGATAACAGCAGCCTGGATCCAGAAGGCTCTCTGGGAAATCATTAGAGGGAATTAAGAAGCATGCCTGGCTTTGAGAGTACACAGGGCGGGGAGATGGGCAGAACCCTGATGTGGCCATCCAGAGACAAACGCCTTTTGGACAGGGAGCTTCCGAGCCCCTCCGGTGCCCAAACCCCATGACTTTAACCTGAGATCTTCAAGATACTGAAGCCCAGATAGGGAGTGTGGTTTGTCCTGGGTCCCGCAGCAAAGTGTCCCCAGCCCCAAGTTCTTGCCACATTTCGCCATGTCCTCTGACGCGCCGCCCGCAGCTGTGGATGAGTTACCAAGATGGAGGGGATTTCAAAGTTCTCCCAGACATAGGAGGTTGCCACGTAGATGTTATTAGTGCGGGCAACCTTTTATTGCTTTTAAAACATGAACGGTGCGGGTGCGGTGGCTCATGCCTGTAGACCCAGCACTTTGGGAGGCCGAGGCTGGAGGATCGCCTGAGCCCAGGGGTTCAAGACCAGGTTGGACAACATAGTGAGACTCCATCTCTATAAAAAAAATTTTTTTTTAATTAGCTGGGATTGGTAGCAGGCATGTGCCTGCTACTGAGGAGGCTGACGTGGGAGGATTGCTTGAGCTCAGGAGGTTGAGGTTGTAGTGAGCTGTGATCAAGACATTGCACTCTAGCCTGGGTCGCAGAGCAAGACACTCTCTCTAAATAAATAAATAAAGGAAATTGGATTATGCCCAACCTCTGCCATTCTCCATTCCCATTATGCCCAACCTCTGCTATTCTCCATTCTCATGGCTTGCAAATGTAAGGGTTATTATCCTGACATTAAAACAGAACATCACAGACCATCGCTAGGCAGACATAACACCTTGGGAAAATCTCGCAGAGAAAAATGTTCAAGAAACATCCCTGTGTGAATGTTTTTCTTCCTTTCTCTCTCTACCTCCCTCCCACCCTTCTCTCCTTCCTGCCTTCCTTCCTTCCTCCCTCCCTCCCTTCCTTTCTTCCTTCTTTCCTTCCTTCCTGTAAAACACAGTAGCAAGCCTGAATTTTCTTCTGTCCTTTACTGAATACTACCACATCTTCATTTGTTTTTCTACTGCTGAGCAGCAACAAGAGGCGGCTTTGTGTTTTTATCCATCCTAACCACTTACCACAGCTGTGAGCTTGCAGTTATTTATGGGGAGAGCTATAAAACTGTAACTCTTTTCTTTGATCTCCCAAAAAACCACAGATTGAATCTCCAACCCAAGGCTCCCAACCAGGGGATAAAAGTGAACTGGGCCACATGATTATCTTGATAGACAGAAAAAAACATTTGTCAAAATCCAACAATGCTTTTATGATGTAAAAAAAAAAATACCCAAAATAGAAATAGAAGGGAATTTCCTCAACCTCAGGGCATCTATAAAAATCCCATAGAATATGACACACTTAATGATAAAAGACTGGATATTTTTCCCCCTAAGAATAGGAACAAGCCAAGGTGCCCACGCTGTCACTTCTGTCCAACATTGTCTTGGAGGTTATGGCCATTGCAATTAGGCAAGAAAAATAAAAGCATCCAAATTAAAAAGGATAAAGTGAAGCTATCTCTATTCACAGATGATTTCGTCCTGTATGTAAAAACCCTATAGAATGGACTGGATGCAGTGGCTCACGCCTGTAATCCAAGCACTTTGGGAATCCAAGGCAGGTGGATCATGAGGTCCGGAAGTCAAGAGCAGCCTGGCCAAGATGGTGAAGCCCCGTCTCTACTAAAAATACAAAAATGGCTGGGCGCAGTGGCTCACGCCTATAATCCCAGCACTTTGGGAGGCTGAGGCAGGTGGATCACAAGGTCAAGAGATCGAGACCATCCTGGTCAACATGGTGAAACCCCGTCTCTACTGAAAATACAAAAATTAGCTGGGCATGGTGGCGCGTGCCTGTAATCCCAGCTACTCGGGAGGCTGAGGCAGGAGAATTGCTTGAACCCGGGAAGCGGAGGTTGCAGTGAGCCGAGATCGCGCCATTGCACTCCAGCCTGGGCAACAAGAGCAAAACTCCATCTCAAAAAAACAAAAGAAAAAATACAAAAATTGGCCAGGCATGGTGGCGAACGCCTGTGATTCCAGATACTCGGGAGGCTGAGACAGAGAACTGCTTCAACCCAGGAGGCAGAGGTTGCAGTGAGCCAAGATTGCACCACTGCATTCCAGCCTGGGCGACAGAGCCAGAATCCATCTCAAAAAACAAACCAAAAAAAAAAAAAAAACAGAAAAAACCCTAACGAGTGTACAAAATACCTATTAGAGCTAATAAACCAGTCCAGCAAGGTTGTGGGATTTAAGATCAACATACAAAAATCACTTGCTTTATTTTTTATTTTTTTTTGAGACGGGGTCTCTGTCACCCAGGCTGAAGTACAGTGCCTCGATCACAGGTCACTGCAGCCTTGACGTCCTGAGCTCAGGCAATCCTCCCACCTCAGCCTCCTCAGTAGCTGAGACTACAGGCATATACCACCGTGCCTGGCTAATTTTTTTTGTAGTTTTTTGTACAGACAGGGTTTTGCAATGTTGCCCAGGCTGGTCGCAAACTCCTGGGCTCAAGCCACCCACCTGCCTGGGCCTCCCAAAGTGCTGGGATTACAGGTGTGAATCACCACACCCAGCCAATTGCATTTCTGTACACTAGCAATGAGCAATCCAAAAATGAAATTAAGAAAATAGTTGCATTTACAATAGCCTCAAAATGGCAGAAGCTGGGTAGGAGGCACACACCTGTGGTCCCAGCTACTCAAGAGGCTGAAGCAGGAGGATCCCCTTGAGCATGAGAGTTTGAATCCAGCCTGGGAAACATAGCAAGACCCCATTTCTTAAAAAAAAAAAAAAAAAAAAGAAAGAGAGAGAGAGAGACAATGTAATACTCAGGAAAACGTCTAACTAAGGAAGTTCAATACCTATACACTGAAAACTACAAAACATTGTTGGAAGGAAATTAAAGAAAACCTAAATAAATGGAAAGACATTCACGGATCAGCAGATTTAATATTGTTAAAGTAGTATATCAGTCAGAAATCTATCAGAGAAAGAGAGAAGATATATACATTTGCAGATGGTACCAGACTTAATGATGGTTCGGTGATTTTTTTTGGCTTTATGATGGTGATACACATTCAGAAGACACTGTACTTGAACTGCTCTTACAACCATTCTGGGGCTGTTGTTGTAGTTTTTGTTGTTTTTTGTTTTTGAGATGGTGTCTCGCTCTGTCACCCAGGCTGGAGTGCAGTGGCGTAATCGCGGCTCACTGTAACCTCCACCTCCTAGGTTCAAGCAATTCCCCTGCCTCAGCCTCCTGAGTAACTGGGACTACCGGTGCATGTCACCACATCCCGCTATTTTTTTTTATTTTTAGTAGAGACTGGGTTTCACCATGTTGGCCAGGATGGTCTCGATCTCTTGACCTCATGATCCGTCTGCCTTAGCCTCCCAAAGTGCTGGGATTCCAGGCATGCACCACCACGCCCGGCCACATGCATTCTGTTTTTAACTTTTAGTACAGTATTCAGTAAATTACATGAGATATTCAATATTTTATCATAATACAGGCTTTTAGATGTTACTGCCCAACTGTAAGCTTATGTATTGTTTTAAGTATGTTTAAGGTAGGCTAGGCTAACCTTTGAGCGTCAGGAGGTTACGTATTAGTAAATGCATTTTTTTTTTTTTTTTGAAGACACCGTTTCATTTTGTTGCCCAGACTGGAGTGCGATGGCTCACTGCAACCTCCACTTCCCGGGTTCAAGTGATTCTCATGCCTCAGCCTCCTGAGTATGGGATTACAGGGGGCACCACCATGCCTGGCTAATTTTTGTGTTTTTAGTGGAGATGGGGTTCCACCATGTTGGCCAGGCTGGTCTGGAACTCCTGACCTCAAGTGACCCACCCGTCTCAGCCTCCCAAAGGTCTGGGATTACAGGCATGAACCACCATTCCCAGCCTAAATGCATTTTCAACTTACAGTATTTTAAACCTACAATGGATTTATCAGGGCATAAGCCTGTCGTAAATTGAGGAGCATCTATCTATCTGTAGAGAGAGACAGAGACACAAAGAGAGATTTCAAGAAATTGACTTACACAATTGTGGGAGCTGGCAAGATCGAAATCTGTAGGGCAGGCTGGCCGACTGGAAACTCTTGGGCAGGAACTAAAGCTTCACCCATAGTGGGATTCTTCCAGTTATGCT